TTATTTTTTTTTTAATCACTACTTGTACACTTCACTGCCAGTGACAAATTTCTGACTGCCTCACAAAGACTTTTTTTGTCAGGTTGCCCATGCTTCTGATTGTTTATTAAGAAGACACAAATCTGTTCTTAGAAACCATGTTGGTGGTTTTATTATCGCCATTATTTTGAAAGCCATACTAGCTATGCAATGTAATTCAGGAAATAAAACTATGAAATATAAACTACAATGCTGGTTCCCTCTCAATTTCTTTTTGGCAACTCCCAACAAATGAGAGAGAGAAAAGGAAAACCCTTTCTATATGCAGACTGAAAATGAAGTAAGCTAGTTCAACTTGCATAGAATTCCAGGGCTTCTGATACAGGAAAATATGAATTAAGTAGAGGTGACCTCTTCAAAAGGGCTTAATTATTCTGATAAAAGTTATATGTATCAAACTAATGACAATTTAGCATATAAACCAACTGGAAAATGCATATAAATCCATATTTCCACTTCCTGAATATGTGAAAACTGTTCACATTTTAGGATATAAAATAAGCTGGATCAAATATCATTTTTGTGGTTTTTTCAAAAAACCACACTCTATCCAGTACCAACAGATTCTATCCAAAAGAGAAAAAGTACTAAGAGTCAAAAGTACAATCAATAAAATAACACCTCCCTAAATACTAGAAATATTAATGAAATGTGAAAAAAATTAAACAAGTTCTTGCAACTATGCTCCCAGTTTTATATACATATTTCATATGGGGCAAAGAAATATCTTGGTCTTCAACAAGTGAGTTTCTCAGTGCAAGATAAAGGGGGGAGGGTGAAAAAAATCCAAACAGACCTTCCGAAGAAGGTGAAAGGTCCTACCTTGGTTTAAGAAGTACTATCAAACAACAAAGCAGGACTACAACTCTGCAGTGTGCCCCGTAAGACAGATTCACACACTGTATGAAAAGTCATCACACACACAAAGCCACCTACATTTAGCTTTTTCAGTTTGCCATTGGGAGGGTTTATATATAATTTTTATATATATACACATATATATTACCTACATTATTCTACATATGCTTTAGCTGAAACAGCAAGGAGTTATTTACAGAAGAATTCAGCTTATAGAAATATGCTCCTCTAAACCTGCTGATTCCAAGTTAATCACAGACATAAAACTACATAGGCAATCAACTTCTTAGACATATATATTTTCTTTAACTTCAGCATGTACATTGTCTTAACACAACTGCCAAGATACAGGGTGTGCTCCATCAGACATTCCTTTCTAGCTTGTTCATTTAAAATTGCAGAATCAGATTGGCAAAGTGCCAGATTTAAAGTCAAGCTCAGTCTTCACTGGCACATTGACCTACTAACTTTATTTCTACAGTACTGCACTACATGGAACTTTTTGAAATGGACATTCAGACAATGCCATAGTCAAGTCACAGTCAAACAGGAAAAACAAAAGCCTATTAACTGCTTCTCAATTAAATACCTACTGAAATCTCACACACTGACTCCCAGCCTGCATCTGCTGATTAATATGGCTTTCCAAGAGACAGAGCACCACAAAAAAATCTCCTTTAAAATGGCTGTCATCTCCTTTTGTTCTAAAAGCCTGAGGCCCTGACTGTCCTCCATCAAGATACACTTCGCTATTTTTTCATAGTGAAGTGAAGCTGATCTCAGAAAAGACAGTGGCTTCTATTGCCTAACACTTTTTTAAGCTTTGATAAGCTACTTAATTCAACTTTGTCCTACTGTGACCAGGAGGAAAATCATGAAAACAAGTCCTCCTTCCCTGTCATACCACTAGTTTAATTTAAGACTGCAAATGTTATTAGCACAGTAGTATGTTTATGAACTTTCACCAACCTAATGCACCAGTAAATTTATTTGCATACATCCCCGGTGCATCTGCCATACCTTCAGGCTCCTGCTAAAAATAACTTACCCCTGAATTGCCAACATATGGCTGCCTCTTTGGAAACTACCATCTTCCTGGAACACATCTTTCACTATTCAGGAACATCCCTCATACAGTATTTTATCTGGATTCAACTCTCTAGCAGTAGGTGTACATCAAGATGGCAAAAACTTTTTTGAAAAGTCCTACAGCAGGAGCTTCCATCCACCAAACTAAGCTGTGCCTCTTAAAACCAATTGTACGAACCAGAGAATGCATATTAAGCTGACAAAGTGGATAAATTAAAGCCTGAACTGCATTTCTTTATTCTTGCCTGTAATATTATAGTAAGACCCAACAATTTTGGTCAAGGAAATGGAATCCACAAACAATAGAACAATATTCATAATTTTTTGTTATTTTTCTTTATGAAATAGTATCAGTCATTCAGTAAGACAAGATCAGGCAAATGCAGCTGCAAGAGTAAGTTTAATCAAACTTAGCTTCAGTCAAAGTATTATTTTAATTCAAACAGAGGTGTATTTCTGAAGATGGATCTTATTGGCTTGAATAAGTGTTTGTACCTAAGCAAACTCTTACTGATGACATTTTTATGAATGTGATGAAAGCTCTGTATAAAAAGTACAAGTAGTATAAAACTACACTTGTGGGTTATTAAGAAATGACCACAATCTTAAAACTTACATTAAATACAGTAACTTGCATTATAAAAAAAAAACAAAACACTGATCACACCCTAAGCTCCAGTACTGTTAGTGATTTCTTTCAGAATACGTCACTGTACCCTTCATGTTGGACACTGTGGCTTTCCACTAGACATCTGGGCACATGAAAAGACAAGACACTCAGTTTAAACAGAGCAGCTCCATCTTTTGGAGATTTTAAATGGCAGCTTTCATTTCAAGTTTATGACTTCAATAAACATGAAGTCCTAAAATTAGCAACCTTCAAGGCAATACTAAAATCTTCTAAAGGTTTACTTGAAAGAAAAAAACTCCTTTATATGTATAAGGCCTAATATTACTCCTAGTAATAAAAATATTCCACAAAATAAAAGACTTTTTATTCACTTCAAAAGCATTCACTCTAGACTAGCAGTATCATTTTTATCAAACAATTACCTCATAGACATAGATATACACAATAATTATGCTAATTATTAACAACTGTGCTCCTTTGCTCTTCAACTCATATGCGATTTAGGTATAGATCTTCAGTTCCTTAGGTGCCCCTGATAATTTCTTAAAGATACAAAATCTTTCAAGATCTGAGTTATATAATTTCTTTTAAAAACATTTAAGCTTGAAACAACCTTTCATAGAAACATTTACCAAGCACCAACCACCAACCCATTCTCTTAAAATATCCTGAAAACTCACCTACTTTACAGGTCTGTACACAAAACCCACCATCTCTGCATAATATGCAATAAACACTGATTATCTATCTACTCACAAATCTTATTTTACTACACTTATACAATTAAGCCTACAGTATAGGTTGATAGTATATATATATGCAACATAAACACAAAGAACATAAACATCACCACAGTAAGCATTCTGCTGAAATAAAGAATGTGATTTAAAAAAATCCTAGTTTAACCAATTCTTTGCTCTACTCTGAAATATTCTAAGCCTCTTTCCCATTACAATGTCTTCATACCAGGAAGAAACCTGAGTAAAATCAAAGCCAATCTACTTACTTTACTTCCTACTGAAAGGCATAACTTCAGAAGACTGCTTGAAGACTCTAGAATTCCTTTATTATAATAAGTGTGACACAAAAAAATGAAAGAATGGAATTCTGTCTATTGAAGCTCTTACAAAGCACGTATCTTCACGGTTTCTCAGAATTTCCCCCCTTACTCCTATATACTTACAAGCTAGTAGAACAATAAATAAAGCTTTAAAAAGTATGGCCTCCAACAGATACTGAAGAAACTAGAGGGCTTTATTAGCCCAGGGAAAAGGTAACTGAGGAAGAAATATCAACAGCCTTCTAATATGTTACTGAAAGACAAGCAGGCAGTTCATATTCCTGCCTGTTAAGGTCGAGACAAATGACAACACTTACTAAACCAAAGATGCTTAGATTGGACAGATATAAAATGACCACAAAGTTTCCAAGAATCTCCTTCCAGAGCACTCCAGTTCTTGCACAAGCCAAAGGACCCTGCCTCTCAGCAGCATCAGCACCAGACAGCTTGGCTCTGTCTGGTGCTTCTTTCTTCCCTCCCTGACTGAAACTCTGGATCAGGCAGGAAGAAAACTTGCCAACAGGAAGGACAGTTACTATTCTTCTGACAGAACGTGTGACCTCTGCTAATATCTTCAGTCACTAAGCTTGGCAGAGATCTGCTTTGTAGTGTGAAGGGACAAGAGGACCTGTCAAAGTCCATCCCCAATCCATTTTTATGTTTTCTTTACTTGTAAGGAGGAACAATGTCCTCATTTTGACTACTGAGACTAAGCTTTAAGCACCTTGATCTTGTCTTTGTCCCTTTTTTAAAAAAGGCTTTCCAAATTCACAAAATCCACTAGGACCTCCAGACTGAGTCCAAGCTATGACCGAACACCACTCTGTCAACTAGACCATGGCAATAAAGTGCCACGTCCAGTCTCTCCTTAAACACCCCCAGGGATGGTGATTCCACCGTCTCCCCGGGCAGCCGATTCCAATGTCTAAACAGCCCTTCCCGCGAAGAAATTCTTCCTAATGTCCAGCCCAAACGTTGCCTGGCACAGCTTGAGACTGCGTCCTCTCATCTCGGCTCACCAGGGACTCAATGCCAACAGAAGACGAGTTAGCAGCATCTGTTGCTCAAGACTCCTGTTTTCCACATCCAAGAGAACTCCTTTGGCACGCACTGCTCCATGCCCGCGCTGGAACAACCAAACCCAGAGGGAAGATCGTCACGGCCAGGCCCGAATCCTAAAGCACGGGGCCTGGTTCATCCTCCCCAGTCGCTCGCAGGGAAGGGGCAGGAAGAAACCCGGCCGGGCTCTCGCTGCCCTGGGGCACGGCTCGGTCCCCTCCCCGGGCACCCCGGGGATGCGCCCCGGCCCCGCATCCCGCTCACCTCCAGCTTGTGGTTGATCTGGGACACGGTCTGAGCCTTGTGGCAGAGCTGCGCGAAACACGAGCTCAGGCTCGTCATCTTCTGCCGCCCCTCGTACGTGATGTCGGCCTGGTCGGGGTCGATCTCGCCCAGCAGCAGGTCCACGTCCACGAACGCCTTGTCGAACTCCTTCTCCAGCACCTCCAGCCAGCGGAACATGGACACGCCGCCGCCACCCGGCGCCGGCCCGGCCGCGCCCGGACCGCAGGGACCACCGCCCGCCGCCGACATTCTACCGCTGCCGCTGCCGCCCCCTGCCTTCGCACGGTACTGCCCCGCCGCAGCCGCTCCCGCCCCTCAGGACCCGCCGCTCCCGGTCCCACTCCCGGTCCCGCTCCCGGCGCTGCTCCCGGGGCAGCCACGCAGGGAGCGCGGGCACGCGCGTGCGCGGCGGCCGCCTGGCGGTGTGGCAGGCAGCACCTGCCGAGCGCCGAGCCCCCGATCGCGCCCCGGCCGCGCCGGCAGGGGGCGCTGCGATCCCGCCCAGCGGGGGCGGGAGGGGCCGGGGGCGGGAGCGACTCGTGTCTGTCTGTCCCCTGTCCTCCTGTCCCTGTGTCCCCATGTCCCCGGCCTGGCCCCCGGGAGCGTCCGCGCCCGACCCCCCCAGGCAGCGGGCGTGTAATTGTAATTATCATCATCATCATGGCTAGGCTTCGCGAACGAAGATTTGGGAAGGCTCTATCCACATTTGCTACAGGCACGCTGGTGGCTTATGAGGCCAATACGTGACAGACAAATCCGATTGCAAAAGGCACAGCAGAAAGACTCCTTAGATGGTGTATTCTGCAATACACGGTTCTTTCTGCGTTGCCTTTTTTCCTCGAGGGTGATCCTGCGTGTGTTAATTGTAATTATAGCCACTTTTGTATTGACATATAGTCCATATAAGACCTATGCTAAGTTTGCACATGGTGAAGAATAAGAATGTGGACCTTGCCCCGAACAACTTACAATGTATATACGTGAAGGAAATGATGAATAAATGTAACATAAAGAGAAGCATAAGTGCAGAGGTATTTGTGCATAGAAGTGTACAACAGGAAGCAGACAGATGGCAGCTAAAACTGCAAGTCACCACTGCTTGAATGAGACACTAGGATACAGCAATATCACAACCTCTTCAGATCTAAAGCATCAGAGGGAACACACAGAAACAGAGAAAACTTCAGATGGTGACTAACAGACCATATTGACAGGAAACAAACCCTCGCTACCGAAAGGGAAACCAGTTGCGAGGGTTGAGGGGCAGACAGAGATGACATCATCAGATAAAATAATGACAGCATTTTTGGGAAAAGCTTTTTCATTTTCTGAGCTACCATTGCAAAAATTTCTGCAGTACGGACCAGGGTTTTATTTGAACTAATAGATATAAAATCTATTTATGACTTATCGATTTCCCAGACAAGAGAATTCAAAATAGAGCCAAACTGAATTGGAAAGCTGGATCATTCTTATGTATATATGGTTATTTTTATATATAAGGGAGGAGGAAGAGAGGAAAGAGAAGAAGAGGAAAGAGAAGTCTTCATTACTGTATTCACTGATGTGATGAGCAGGTGCAAACCACACGGCAGGATTTGCACCAACACATCAATTGCTTGTGCTCAGAAAAGATGCAGACTTGCAAGTATTGCATAAAATCATAGAACCATAGAACGTTAAGGGTTGGAAGGGACCTTAAAAATCATCTAGTCCTAACAGCCCCTGCCTTGTGCAGGGACACCTCTCACTAGACCAGGTTGCTCAAGGCCTTGTCCAACCTGTCCTTGAACACTGAGAGGCATGGGGCATCCACAGCTTCTCTGGGCAACCTGTTCCAGTCTCACCAGCCTCACAGTAAAGAATTTCTTCCTGATATCTAACCTAAATGGACTGCCCCTGTCACCTTTGCATCTCTAGAAGCACCAATGAATGCAGTTATACCCATATAAAAGGTATTTGCTTTTTTTTTTTAGCTCATCCTGGTTCTGACAATGAAACAAATTTCAGAGAACAAGCTACCCCTACACGGGTGCTTTCTCCAAGACGTTCACCTTGGCTTCAGCTCGTCTCCTTTGAAATACTGCAATACTGCAACTCTGATGTTGATTTCAGCTGGAGCTTTATTAGCAGGTCTTGTGGAGAACATGGGCAGCTTTGTTTTATTGCATTGAAGTCGTAATTCCACCTCAAAAGAGAAAAAAGAAAAAAATCACTGTAAAGCAGATCAGGTCCCTAATCCTGCCTACAACATGGCCCCACAAAATACTCTCCCAGCGCAACAAAGAGAGCACAGGGACCCTCCAGTCAGCAGTGGAGGATACCAGAATAACGGTAAGGGCACCTCCCCCTTCCTCCTTCTTCCCTCCACTTTCTATACTGAGCATGATGTTATATGGTATGGAATATCCCTTGGTCAGCTGGGGTCAGCCGTCCTGGCCGTGTCTTCTCCCAACTTCCTGTGCATTCCAAACTTCCCTTGCCTGTGTGGCAGTACAAAAAGCAGAAAAGGCCTTGACTCTGTGTAAACCCTGCTCAGCAATAATAAAAACATCTCTATATTATCAGCCCTGTGTTCAGCACAAATCCAAACCACATCCCCACAGTAGCCACTGTGGAGAAAATGAACGACTCCAGGCAAAACCAGCACACCATTCAAATTGTCTGCACTGCAACTGAGGGTAGGTAGCAACAAACTGGGCGGGGTTCCCTTACTGCTAAACCCATCCAGGATAGAAACAAAAGCTACAAACACCTTTACATATATCTACAGAAAAAAAACTGGCTCAGTAAATTGGTGTATTCAGAACAGCAGCTAAGCAGAGGGTGTACGTGTCTAAAGTCACGCAGCTACTCAGCCTTGGCCATATTGATCAACAGAACTGGTTCTACTCTGGTCTCCAATCAGGAGGTCTGGAGACACACCATCTATAACACTGCTGATGCCTTTGAGAAAGCACTCAGGATCACTCTTGAGGAGAAAAGACAACACAGAAAGAACCGTGCCTTGCAGAATCTACCACCTAAGGAGTCTTTCTGCTGTGCCTTTTGCAACCGGACGTGCCTGTCTCACATTGGCCTTTTTAGCCACCAGCGCGCTTGTAACAAACATGGGTAGAGCCCTTCCCAAATCTTCGTTCACAAAGCCCAGCCATGACAATGACTTTGGAGCGAGCCCAGCTGAACAGAGCATTTGCCTGACCTTCGTCCTGGCGTTCACTCTTCACAGCTGTCTTTTTTTGCACAACAGCGTCCCATAGAAAATCAAATTTTTTGCTGTATCAAAAGCTAAACTAATTTTATTGTTTAAATTAGTTCAGCCACACAAGAAAATTAATTGTTTCAAAACTATCAGGTTTTATGTTAGCTTTGGCTTTGATTCTGGTAGATATCTCACTGGAGAAGTACCTATAGAATCATGTTACATTTTTTGCCTTTTTTTATTTAATGGAACAGTAAGCTATTCCTTAGCCAAATATTAGCATTTTCTGCTAATATACCTCTATTGTGCATTTGAACACTATCTACTTATCTTGAGAAAGAAGTTTCCCATAGTTACTATGTAACATATCTATAACAAATACTGCCTTTAAAAACTTAGACATAATGTAATTTATGTACGACTGCTTCTTTTTAAAGAATCGCTTATTGTCAGTTTTTTAGTGTCCTTTTCCTTTAGCTCACAGGCTGGTCCTGCTCTATTTTAAATTGTTTTTATCAACAATGGTATCAGAGTTTTGTGGTCATTAATTTTAATTCTTTCATCCCTTAGCGGTGCTACCTTTGTTTTTCATGTCCTTACATTTCACCACTCAAACAAGGTTTTGTCTCTCCTTATTCTACTCAAAGACTAGCTTCTCAAATGGAATCCTTTTAGAAGCTCACCTGCAGTGTAATATCGGTCTAATACTTGCTGGACTATGTATAAATGAGAAGGAATACGAGATGTTGTTAAGGAAATCAGCAGTTTTGACACTGAATCTTAATAAATGTTGCTATCATTAGCTACTATTTATATTCCTCTCCAGAAATACTGTGTAAAAGAGGGGTTGAAATTTAAAGGAAGTGTCTCTGATATTAGGGTAAACACAGGAATAACTGAATTATCTCAAAACTATACTTGGAGATCCTCTAGAAAATTCTGATAAATTCCAATTATCCTTGAAATGTCTGCCAAAAGCCCCCAGAGCAACTGTAACTCTGTTCTGTAAGCAAGCTGTGCAGTAATTATGGAATTGAACCTAAGAAAGGTTAGTAAGTTTGGCCTTCAATTAGAATTCAATCGATTTAGAGTAAACTGTAGCATACTACACCCTGATAACATCAATAAAATAATTGAAGAACATTTAAAGAGCAGCAGTGGTCTGAGTCAACCAGTCTAGCAGTAAGAATCATTTCTACAAGGGACATTTCTAACAATAGTTGGAGGAAGTTATATGTCAAGAAGAATTTAAATTTGCTGAATGCCCTTAATGTCAAAAGGACTTCACTGAAAGGTTTGTGATTTGTTTCTTTGACCTTATTTATGATGTAGTTCTGGTGAAGCTAATCACCAGATCATTTCTTCATGTATAATTTATGTACATAATTTCAATTATTTTACACAGGCTATAGAGCATGTGAGGTATCTGCATTATACTGTTATTAAGTACATTTGAGTACAAACAGTCCTTCATAAATTTAAACCTGCATACTTTGACTGATTACTGGAGTACCTAATTAATTATCTGAAACCTTACTTTGAGCTTAAAGAGTAAATGACCTTAAGCATGAGGAGGACACATTTTCATACCAAAAAAAGCCCCAAAGTAATACCCAAATCAAAAGGAAAAAATAAATTGCTTGGATTGACATCTCCACTGCTGTAGATTTTGTATCTAGTGTCCATGCCTAGACTGTGAGACACTCTATAAACCTTTGGTTAGACCCAGCCCCTGCACAAAGAATTTACAATATAAACACTTATGTTTGCACATGAGGGTCAGTTCCCCCGGAAACCCCTGTAATTGCAGCTGCCCAGCTGTGTGTGCTGGGCTGCAGTGCCTGCACATGTCAAGGCCATCTCCTGTGTGGTTAATGCTGAAGCATCTTGAGTGGTTTGATTGCATGGGTGGCTGTGCAGTCACAAGCAGGGGCACCAAAGGGGAAATGGAGTGAAAACAAGTAATATCTTGCAGGATCAAAGCATCAGAGAAAAATAGAGATAATAAAGCAAGATTTTCTTGCTAAAAAAGGAGTTAGAGTAGATGATTAGAAAGCATCTTTCTGAAGCACACTCCTTTCTGAAGGAGAGGAGGAAGTCATCCACCTGCACTGATACCCAAAGGGGCATACATTTTCAGTTGT